CACTGAGCAATTCTCTACAAGTAACAGGAGTCCAATGTATTATGCATGCTCTATTGCTCTAATAAATAAAAGGATTAGTTTGTTTACAGCTGCCAGTGTGGTCCTGTTAATTTGACATTTCATCTGGCTATGTTTGACTGCAGAGACTAAAATGAAGCCTGCCTTCATTTTTTATTTTTCCAGAAACATAAAAGGAACTGGCTAATTGCTCAACTATCCAACTTTGGTACTTGAAATGAAACATATGAACGTATATCTTTACTTTTTCTTCCCAGTCCCTTTCAACATCATCGCTGGGTTTTTTTCATGGCTGAACAATATCTTGGTTAGTTACATGCTTATGTATTCTTGTGACTCTCACACCTTGCAGACAAATCCTTTACTTGGAAAAAAATAAGATAGAATGTATAGTCCCTAAATTATAATTTCAGAAACAAAGCTTTGATCATAATATTCACAACCTTAACAGTTCCTGAAAGAGAGCTCCTTTTTTGGACCTTCTAGAAAGCAAAGGCTACTCAAGCTATCTTCAAAATATACTTCATGAAACTTGGCAATATTATGATACCTATTCTTAAAACCTCCAGAAAACTTTCTGTTACAGTTTAATTCAAATATAAACTTTATTCTTACATATTCTAATTTCTCAAATAATTTCCTTTATATTTTTTCTTCATCAGTTGTCTTCTTTCTCTACCCCTTTAAAAAGCTTTTATGAACTTTCTTATGTCACTACATCTACAACCACCTTCTTTTCTTCATATAATGACTTCTTTACCCTTCCCCCGTAAGATCTTTCCAGAACTACTAAAGGACACCCAAAACATGAGAAAAGAACAAGCTTCCACCTGCAACAAAAATAAATGACCTTTATGTGCCTAAACCTTGAACTAGGGCCATGGCCAGTGGGAACACAAGAGAGGAAACAAATTTGTTAAAATTAAATTCACCAGTAGAAAACTCAGGATTACCCCGAATGAGACACTTACGACACAGAGCAGTATTATCACATTGCTTTCATGTCTCATGTGCCTATAGTATTTTCTGAAAGGCAGGGCCACCAACAAAGACCAGCATTTATACTCCTTTGAACTGTTTTGCATTTGGCAAGAATGTTGCAAAGCTCAGTTTCCTAAAATATTTAAAGGAAAAAGTAGAAAATAAGTCTTACATCTTTTCCACAAGCTATCTAACACTGTGAGCATTGCAAACCGGGTTAAGGGAGGTACAAGAGAAGAATAAGAAGTGTCCAGTTGCTTGTATCTGACACAAGCTAAAAGGGCAGATATTTATTGAATGCTCATTGTGCAACAGACATAAGGCCAAGGACTTTATTTGTCCTCATTTATCATCAAAACAACCCTGTGAAACAGATACTGCTTTATTCTCATTTTACAAATGGGGAAACTGAGACTTGGAGAAGTCAAGTGATTTTCTCCAGGCCAGACAGTAATGAAAGTGGAGCCTGAATCTAAATTGAAGCCTCTCCAGTTCAGAACCCAATGTCTTACCCGCTCCTTAAAACTGAAAGACTCTAAGATTTGAAGCTAATATCCAAAGTATTTATTATGATTCTATCCTAGGTGCCAGGCAATATTAATCATACTAACAGGCCTCCAGCCTTTCAGCCTGGGCTGGAGCTCAGTGAATATTCTATAAATTAGAGAATAATGATGATGTCTTCCTCCTAGAATTGCCAAAGCAAGTCCAGCATAAGCCCAGCTGCTAGGAATATTACACCATCAAATAAATCCAACTCCAAACATGATTCTCATGTTTTGCCAGCCAGGTGGCTCTGCACATATGGCAACCCTGCTCCCTAGCAGGAGTGACATAGGGGGAAACAACCTGAATGATGAAAAACAGCAGGCATTTAAATACTTCCACTCAGACAGCAGGGAGCTTGTTACCTGAAATGCCCAGGATCCATCATTTGGCAATGAGAACATGAATACCAGACGCTGATTTCAGAAACATATCAGGAAAATACCACTGTGTACAAATTCATGGTGCAAAGAGATGTTTCCTGTTTCAGATCTGGGATACCTCTAGTACCCTATATCCTTCCTCCTTCTCATCTTATACCCTCCTCATAACAATAAGCTCAGAGCTCTTCTCAAGAAATCTTATCAGGTGAGATCCCTCTCTCTCTCTTACCACTTTGGAGAGCTACAACACGGCAGGGTCTGTTGTTCTCGCAAGCAACAGAAGCATTTTGATGCATTGACGTTCTGTAGGGCTATTGGAAACCCCTGACTCAGCACACCAGCTCCCCAAGGGACTGCAGGAGGGCATTGCTGTGTGTGACAATCTGCCTGTTAATCAAGAAATTTTGATTAGCAAGGAAATTTACCTGATGACTATGGCTAAGAAATGCCATAACTCAATTGATTAATCTCTTCTCTTCCTCCCTTCTTCATTCCTTCATCCCATTCTCCTGCACTTCTGCAGTGAGTGCAATCCTGATTTGTAATCGATGCTCAGGAATGTTGTTGGTTGTTTCTTTGAGGGAAGGAGAAGTGTTGCTTGTTTTACTAAAAGGGGTTTATGTCTGGTTGATTTGACTACAAGGAGCAGAACCTTACCCAAAGTGGTTTGAGAAAACATTAGGGAGGTGACAAGCAATTTAATGTAAAGATACATTGGAGAAATAACAAAGATAGTAACTAACACTAAAGGACTCCTGGAACTGGAACAGGATTCAGTAATTCTAGGTCCTGAGCCTCTAGGGAACGACTTCTCTCTCCCACTCTCTCAGGGGTCTTCATGTCCCATCTATGAATCCAATTGGCTGGTGGCTCCAATCTTCTCCTACTAATGTCTTCCTCAGCCTGCACATGGCTTGTCATGGCCTTTTTCCACCTTTTGACATCTTGTAACTCATCCTGTCCTTGTTCAATTTCCCAGAAAAATCTGCTTGGCCCAGTCCATCTCCTCAGACCTGGTCTCAGGCCTCTCCCATGGTCTTCCCCTAATGTCAGGCTAATAGAAATCTGACTCCACAGAAAAAGACAAGACATAATTATTAGCCAGATATTTGCCTGGGAGGTGAGGTAAAGTGAGGGGATCCTCTGTGCATTTCATTGCCACTATAGATATTTTCATTTTTCTTTATTTGTAGTCCTACCTGATCTCTTACTTAAATTGGTGAATTACCTACAAGATAGATTCAGAATTAGGTTACACTTTTAATTGCAATCTATACCTTAGGAGAAATAACGTCAGTGAGCCTATCTGTAAAATGGGATAATATCCCTTAGCTGCCTCTTTTTCTTTCATAAAATAGAGAGTAGATACAGTTAATTGGAATTAGCCCCTAGAGAATCTCAGGTGAGAGTCTCTCTTTGTAGGTAGGAGGAATGACTGTTTTCACATATCACTGAGGTGGGGATTTCCTGGGATCATGGCTACCATTCACGTCTTCAAGAGCACTGGCAAAGCCCCAAATCCAAGTGTACACGTACTGAAAATCCACTTCCTTACAGCTTCCTAGAATGGGTTCCCAAGATAAGTGATTAGCATGAAGAATGATATGAGCCTCCAATCTGGCTTCTCATTTGGCTAATTATTCCTTTTAATTTTGATGTGGGCAATCATTTGGAAAAACTATGCACACAGGGGATTTTGAAATTTCTGAGTTCAAATGAATTAGACATACATAATTAGGACATTAGGTAGTATTTTCCAGGAGTATAAACTGTACTTGAATCTCAGTGACAAGCTCATGAAGATAAATCTTAAATCTATCCAGTGCTATGGATATTGGTATCTTGAGCTAGAGAAAGTACATGCTGATGAATTGCAAATGCTAAATGGTAATAATGTTAATAATAACTCTCACTGATTTATAGCTATATCCTATTCAAAGTTCTTTCAGAACTATCAACACATAGATTCTCCGGAAAGAAAGAGACATGAATGGTGGTGCTCTAGAACCTTGTATTGTTTTCATGGACTCCTCCACCATCTTCTTGAACATTGCAGATTTTTGTATAGTCATGTTTTCTATAGAGGAAAAGTTTATTAATTAAGAATATTAATTAAAAATATATGTTTCTACCTAGGCTAAATGTTGTCCATCTAGAAACCAGCCTCCATTATTCAAGCTCTAAACACTTTTTCTTCCAGAACAAAGGGTTTAGGATTCTATAAATTACTCAGACAGTTACCTTAACCCTCTCCCATACTACCCTCCCACCTGCTTTGTTTAAGTGCCTAGCCAACAAGTGACGAAGACAAGGTGAAGACTGATAAAGGGTTATTGAAATCATATGGAAAGAGTACTTCAGTATTTAAAACACTGAAATACAAATCATTATTTTCAGGACCAGAGATTTTGGGAACGCTTAGAGTTAGTAAACCAAAAAGATAATAAATCAGTTTTTATTGATCACTTGCCGTGTTTATATAAATGAAATGAGCTATATGAAAGTTACGAAAGATATGAAAAATTAAGTTTGTGACTTCAAAAAACATGTATTTCTTATCTAATCAGTAGGCTATATATTTCTTTGTGTGTGCACACACACACACGTAATTATAGACACTCAGTATGAGTATCCAAAATCTTTCTTTTTACTTTCAATCCATGAATGTACATACTTGAAGTGAAAAGTTAAAAATTTTAGACAACAGTAATCCAAAGGTAGTCACATAGTTTTCCTCTTTGACAAAAGGTTTGTAAATGCTTTTCTCCGCCACGTTTGCATTCCCAGAGCCCGACGTGGTCTGGAGCACAGCACCAAACAGTTGTGCTATGGAGACACAGTGAAGAAATGTGGTGCGGGAAGGATGGGGGTAGAGAGAGATGAGTAAGTTAAAGAAGAAGAAAGAAGAAAGGAAAAAAGAGATGGCCTGGGAATTCCTAGAGGTAATGATATTTCTATTTTCAACCCATAACATGTGTTCAAATGTTTCTTCACTTTAGTTTCCTTATCTCCTGGGTATTATCATTCTTAAGATTTAACTCAATGTTCCCAAATTCTTTTTTTTTTCCCCCCCACTGGAAAACAACTTTTATTGAGATCCCACCAGCTATATAATCTGTTCCTGACATTAAGCTCCTTCTTCCTTGGCAATTCGGTCCTTCTTAAGTGGTCCCATGAATGCCTTCTTCTCCTCCATGGTCTGGAAGCGGCCATGGCCAAACTTGGAGGTGGTGTCGATGAACTTAAGGTCAATTTTCTCCAGAGCTCGCCGTTTGGTCTGCACCAACAGGGACTTGCGGAGAGTGAGCACTCGCTTCTTGGTTCCCACCACACAACCTTTCAGCATCACAAAGTCATTGGTCACTTCACCGTAGTGGACAAAACCACCCTGCTTTTGCACATCAGCATCGCTGAGGGCCATGGCGAAAGCAATGCTAGACCGGTGGACAACAGGATCGAGTTGGGGTTGAAGAGAGTGACAAGAGGAACGGGAAGAGGAAAACTCAGCGTAGGTCTCAGCTTCCTCGACTTTATCCCAAATTCTTGATCTGACATCTGAGTCTGCTCCTCCCAACCCAAGATGAAGGCTACAAATACTCTAAACACCTGCAACTACTTTGCAATGGCTCAGATTCCCACCGAGCTCTAACTCCCATCTTTAATCTAAACCCTTGAATCCCAGTGTGGGGCACAAGTTCTGTCCTGTCACTTTCTCCCTGCACCTGCCTCTTCATCTAGATCCCTCAGAATGACACCTGTTTGAAACACCCTGCCTGGATTTTAGCTGGGCTTCTCAACCCTATCTCGAATCTTCCCAGACTCCATGGGCTGAGCCCTCAGGCCAGTTCCACTCCAGTCCTTGGAAAGCAGCCCCTGTCTAGTGTCCCAAGTCCTCACTTGTGTGAGAGTAGAGTTCCAAGTCCTGACGTTTCTGAGAACCACTGCTGGCAGGAGAGAACCACTGCTGGCAGGACTGTAACTTTACTAGGTGCCCCATGGTTTTTAATACTTATCTTGTGAGACCTCCCTGTCTCAGTGTCATCATCAGAAAAATATAAATAAGAAAAATAACATCAAGTGTACAGGGATGGCTTATTAAATGTTAACATTTTTGTGGGAACTGCTTTTTGTAAATTATAAAGAACTACACAAATACTAGTGATTTCTTTCAGAGAGTTTTCATAGGACTCTGTTAGATAATGGAAAAAACAAAACTAAACAATGAAAAGAATTTAGCTCTGTGCCCAGTTTCACACCCTACCAAAATGAGAACCTCTTCTTTTGCTTGTGGGATGGCATAATGTAATATTACACCTGTGGTGTTTGTTATAAGATTGACTCTGTTTTGTTTGGTTATTTATCTCATCCCCAACAGAAAAATGAGTGTGTACTTTCAGTTGTATGTTCACTACTGTAGTTTGACAAATGATCAGAGGGATATTTTGAAAGAAAAGGACAAATGTCACGAAAAGAGAGACAGTGCTGTAAAGAACATGGAAGTGCCTCCCGGAGAGCGTCTGAGACATGGGTGGAACTGTCACCATAATTCAGCGGCCCCGGCACAAAGAGCAGCCCTGGCTCACAGGGGAAGTGCAAGGCGATGGGCACACGTGGCTGCAATGAGCCCCACTGTCCCTCACACTGAAATCTACTCGTGGTCAGTGAGGCTTCCCAGTTCCTTCCATGTTTTCCAAAAAATACCCCCACTAAGTGGGCGGGGGATTATTTTTTATGTTTTAACATCACAAGGTAGTTAGAGCCACTCTTCAGGAAGCCTCGACAGTATCTCAGACCTAATTTTAGGAAAAGAAGAAACTCAAGAGTCCATTATTTCAGAGAGAAAACCCACATCGGAGAGCATTCGGCTCCGTCACTGCAGTTATTTCTGAGGTTAAACCAAATAAAACCTTCAAAAGTGTGAGTAACTGCCCTGAAATTTCTTTTCCTGTCAGAAGCACTAATACTAAATTAGATTTAGGATTGCAGATGCGAGAAATCACTGTCAAAACTTTTCCCTCCCTTTCTTTCTTTTTCCAAGAAATTCCTCATTGTAGACACTGGGATTAGCAGCATTGTATCGCTTCTATTACTGGATCTCCAAATTAGTTAAACTATCAAAACATATTTAAAAGCAAGCGTATAGTTTCCATTGCTCACAGCTAGTTGTCAAAGAGGTAGATGCCAGTGTGATCATATAATACTTGCCGGATTCATTATTTTTCAAGTGAAATCTTAGATCTGTGCTGTACATCATGATGTCAGTTCATGCTATGATTTATATGTGAAGAAAATGTTCCGTATCTGTAAGACAAGCAACATTTTGCTTTTCAGCATTTCCAGGGAGTAAAGAATATGCATGTGAACAACAACAAAAAAAGGTCTAGAACAAAAGTTCATGAATTCAACAAGCATGGACAGACGAGAGGTACAAAGAAGTTAGGCAGTTTCCAGGTCCTGCAGTTAATCCACGGCCAAGCAGAGACTCCAGCCCAGGTCTTCAACCACAAAGCCCAGTCTCTTTCTGCTACATCACACTGTTGCCCTCTCGGGGATCTCACAGACTCTAAGGTGAGATAAGACAGAGTTGCACATTCATTCAACATTTGTTCATTTGTTCGGTAAATGAAATGTGTTCTACTGCATACCTATCCAAGTGATACGTGTTACCTGAGATACGAGGGAAAGTGGGATGTTGGCCAAAAAGAGGGACAAAGTGCTATAGGCAGGCACACAAAGAGATCACCAGGATGCATTTGAGTAGGCTTCCAACAGGAGGGGACAGTTAAGACACTTCCTGAAGGTCAGGTCCAAAAGGGGGGATGGACCAGGGGAGGAGCTTCACTGTAAATGAAGTATACGCTGTTTCGGGATTTATAGGGAAAGGGAACTATAAATCGCGTGGTGTGCATGGAGTGTAGACAATTTAAAATGTTGAAAAATGCAGGTTGGGGCCAGATCCTAGGGAGTTTTCAATATCAAAATAAGAAGCCTGTGTTTTGCTTACCAGGCAATGGAAAGTCGTGCAAGGTGTTTAGTTAGTAGGTACTTAGCCAGAGCCGCACTGGAGAATGACGACTGTGGAAGGAGTGTGTGTGTAACTGAACGGTGGGAAAGAGCCTAGAGACCAGAAGAACACCTGTAGCCCAGGTGAGAGGTGCAGAACGATGTTGGGCGGTGACGGTGAGGAAGGAGGTAAGATGGGATGCCTTGAACGAATAAGGCAAAAAAAAATCTACTGCAACAATTTGTAAGCAACATCCTCTCATGAACAACCTTCTCTAGAAATATAATGAGCTACGATACAAGCATCCAGTTTGATGAGCCTATGACACCTCCAGCAGCTCAGCCGTCACTCAAAGCATGAAGCTGACTGAATACAGAAAACACCAACTATACAAGCATCAGGGTCTCCTCAGAATTTATCCCGCGACTCACTCTCAGCCACAGAGGTACCCCCTCTCCGAGACAGGGAAGACAATGATTCTCTCACTCGGTTATATAACCACCATTAGCGGATCACGATTGGAGAAAGATTATTTTCCAAAGCCGTGCAGGAATACATATGCCAAATCAACTGGCTAAAGTGAAGGAGAAGGCTGGGTTCAGGGAGGGAAGAACACTATTGGAAAGGAAAGGGACAAAAGGGACAGTCACAGGTGAGCTTTTCTCCAGTGAGAATGGCTGCGCTAAATCACCCGCACTCCCGCACACTGAGGCCCTGCTGCCCACAGCACGCACTGAGAGGCAAGCAGAGTCGATTTGTATTTATTCATTCTCGCATTCAATCATCACACACACCTATATGGAACACTGCTGCGGCAAGGTGCTGGCATTTGGTCCCTGTCCCGAGAAGTCACAGAGTGATATCTGCCAGTGTGCAGTGTGCAGCCATGAAAAGAGACTGAGGCTGCCTGACTCCAAGGGGGACGAAACCTGTGACGGGGTCCTGTAGCCCAAAGCAGCTTGGGGAAGGCTGTGACTCCACCAGACTGAGGCCATGGCTAGCCCTGGCAGGCTCGCCCCATTATTCCTAGTGCCTCTTTGGCCGTTGCATTTCTAGCCCAGGGACACAAAAAGAGCAGAGGTAAAAAATTAAAGCCCTGCTTCTCCGTTTGACGACACATTTCTCCTGTGCACCCGAAGGTGGTGTGCAAAGAGTCTTAGCAATAAAGCAGTCAATGGGGACTCTGGTGCACCAACAGCAATTTTATCCTGACGAAAAACATTAGCTTGCATAATAAAGTTGGGGCAGAATTGTTCTGAGTGGTGTGAGTAGAAATGTTTTGCTGACTGCTGTTGAAATGGGTAACAGACTTTGCATATTATATCACCATTTTTTGTTGTATTTCACATGCAGTGTTTTTCTGCTCTTGACTTTGAGGTGTGAGGGGGAGGCTCTAATCATATGGCCTTGTGCAGATGCTCCATTTGCATTTCTATTAATCCAGGCCCTCCTGGAGATGCTCGAGCAGAGACACAGCATGCTTTGTGTTTGAACTTGTGAGAACCCATACCACCGCTTAATAACTTAATACATATGTATAGCCTCCCTCAGACAGCCCACTAGGAGGCAGAAGCAGGAGGAGGTGCTACCAGCTTGCAGACTGCAGGGCTCTACGGAAATGTGTTCTGACAGGAAGGAGCACCTTGCTCGGCAAAGAGACCCTGTGCCTTAATCCCATCTAGCCAACCCACCTGCCCGGCTGGTGGGTTGCCTATTTTTTTAAGCTTGTATCCAAAGCTTTAGTTCTCGGTGGTCAGAAACAGCCGGGTGGGGCTGAAAGGCCCCTTGTGGTATCTAACTTTGTAACATGGCAGTGGCTGTCCTTTTGTTTCTAGCATAAAAGAGAATTTTTAAATGCAGGTGATATAGGGAAGCAGGACGGTGCAGCGTTGAGAGCATCGGCTTTACAATCCCGCAGACGTTTTTTTTTCTTACTAGTTGGGAGCCCTTAGCAGATTGCTTAGCCTTGGCTTTTTCATCCAACTAATAGGGATAGTATCTGCCTTGCAAGCTTGCCACGAGAATTAAGGGGAAAAAAAGTTGGTGCTCCTCGCATAGATTGGGTATTTAATAAGTTGTAGCTATTATTATTATTATACTTTGTTGCATTGCATAGCTTCCTAATTTTGCCAGTTGATTCATTCATGGACTGTTTTGCAGGGGTAAATGAAAGAAGGGCAGATGGGGAGGGTGGTGTTTGGGACCTTTGATGCTATCAGAGTGACACATGAACCAAACCGATCCTGAGAAAACTCACCTCTGAAAATTGTGTGAAGAGAACATACACCATCATTTTTAAATGGACTTAGGGTTTCCTTCTGCCTTTTGAATTTTATGTTGGGAAAATGTACAAAATTGGCAAACATGAAGGAAAACCTCTCAAAGTTCTTCTAAAAACCCTCCAAAGGAAACCCAAC